TCTTCTTCTTCTTCTTCTTCTTCTTCTTCTTCTCTCCTCCTCCTCCTCTTCCGACTATCTTTTTTTTTGTTGTTGTTCCATTCGTCAGCGATAGGTCGCGAGATAAACGACAGGTAAGAAAAACTGGACCCTACCGCCTTGTCGCCACCATACCCTACCGCCTTGCCTCCCTCTTCTTCTTCTTCTTCTTCTTCTTCTTCTTCTTCTTCTTCTTCTTCTTCTTCTCTCCTCCTCCGCCTCCCCGTCATCTTATTCTCCTTCCTCCTCTCTCCTCCTCCTCCTCTTCCGCCCATCTTCTTCTTCTTCTTCTTGGACCGCCATACCTCCCTCCCTGCTGCCACCGCCGCCATACCCCACCGACCTGTCGCCACCATACCCTACCGCCCTGCCTCACTCTTCTTCTCATTGTTATGAACTTGGTTGTTTGACAATTGAATTGCCACTCACACACAACAGAACTCACATATGCCCATACATGCACAAGTCAGGGGGAGGAAGAGACAGAGTCCACCTGCACACACACCAGAGATAAACAACGGATAACAACCATGCACAGATGGGGAAAATTCACACCCAGTGTTCTCTCTCTCTGATAAACTCCCAACAACCAATCACAATTGAAACTGCAAAGATCACAATCGAAAAGTGTCTCAGATGATGAGCCAACTCAACACAGTTAACCCCAATAATCGTTACAGAGTTTAACCCAGTGTCTCGCCACTCAAGTCCCACTCACACCACTCACTCCTATCCACTCAGAGGCTAGCGCTGTATTGAAACAGCCTCCCAGAGGCCAGCGCCATACACCCAGATGCAGACCATGAATAGCGAAGTAGCTCTCAGTGCCGAAGAGTCTCTCTGACGATGAAGAAGGCAGCTATAGCTGCCCAGCTGCTACCGCAGCAGCAATACCCACATGTACTCTGTGAAGACCTCCCAGATAGTCCTGCCAACGCAGATATCCCCCAGGGGATAGATGCGCTGAGTACAGCCCCAGTTATGGCTATCTCAGGTGGCGGGCTATGGCTGCTCCACTCACGGCTGATGTCTCCGGTGCCACTGCAGACATTCAGCGCTGCTCAACTTGGTTGGCCACCAACGCTGCATGCGAAAAATGAAAGCCAAAAGTCCCACTATCAGTTTCCTTCCTAGCCTTATAGATTCCTACACTAGCCTAGACCGAAACTGGACTGACTGGACCTACCGGTACCGTTGCTGTTTCTCGGCCTCTCGGCCTCTACCGGACCCGGCTATAGGCATAGGACCGTATACCAGTATAGGCCACTTAGGGCCTGTCTGTCCTAGGGTAGCCCGGGCCTGCTATAGGCAGTTAGGGTAGTAGTAGGGATTCGGTTAGTTTAGGGCCTGTAGTCCCTCAGAATTACAGGTCTGTCCCTCGCGAATTTCCCAACAGGCTAGTCACTCGGTTAGCCCTCAGCCAAACAAAATTGCGAATCTAACCCTACGGTTAGTGTACAGCCTCGCAGACAAACTCGGCAGCCGAAATCAGCAAGTCATTGCAGGCTTACCCTCGCCGGGAGCAAGGACCTCCGAGCTAGGGGTGCAGACGAGGCAAATGGCGAAGGTCACCCTTCTGAGACGCCTCATACCGCAGAACTACAGACTTTGCTGTCTTGATCAGGTCTCTTCCGTAGAACCACCGGTTCTCAGAAGGAGGCTGGAAGGCAAACCTGACAAGATACTACCGGTCGGGGCCAGTGCCCCACTCGTCCTCAATGGCCACCACATCATATCCCTTACCGGGGATTGGTGGGTGTAGCGAACCCACCAGGTGTGGTGCTCCGCTAGTGACAGAGATGGAGATGGAGGAAGAAGGGGGAGCAAGGTGGCACAACGCAGCTCCCCACGCAAGACTCCAACGCACGTACTCCAAAATGTGCAAGTGAGGAATCAGACTGAAAACA